CCGATTTTCTCTATTTATATACATTCCTACTTTATTTTTGGAAATGTGTAAACAGTAGAGCGCGCAGATGAAAAAGTTCTCGACAAGCAGTCTGACGTATATATGTATTGTGTAACAAGTTTAACAGCAAACCGGAAGTTGAGCGACTGAACTCGGCTGAGCAGTCGGATGCAGTCCCTGCTTCAGTCAAGCGAGCTATGATCGGGCATCCGTCCTCGAATCTTCGGCTCGGGAAACTCTCGCGAACGGTGGAATGTCCCGAAGGGATACTTCGGCACGCCGGGCTCGACGGAGTGACAGGGCGTTAAAACGTCACCCGGTGGACATTCTCGACACATACCAATCGAGTCGGAGATACCGGGCGAGGGAGTTCGTCCGTTCTTGATGCGTGTTTCCGTCAGACATATTCCGGATTCCAAGACGTCTTCCCGTCCCCTTCGGCTCTCGCGTATCCCGGATTTTTCTCAACCGAGTGTCTCACGAACGATGTGGTCACGCGAGAGAGACGAGAGGACGTTTATTATTAATTTGATAATTATTAGTTGTATACTTTTTTTCGCCGATATTGATTTCTTTCGATCGGATCATATATTAATGTTAAGCTTCTTTGTGATGATTATATATTTATCTTTACCGTTTTTCTTTAATATTTATAAAAGAGATAATCAATAATCTTAAATATTTATAAGGTTTTGCATTACGTTCATTTAGAATGTAGATACTTGTAAAATTAAGTGTTAATCAATCATTTTTATCGTGATGTAATTTATTAACGAGTTCTTTTTTAAAAAAAAAAGGAAAAGCATTTTATCATTTGCTTTTCATATTCACTTTTTAATTCCAGCGTCTTTTATACTTAATCTTTTCCGTTAAATTTGTACTTTAATATTCTAGTTTCTCTTTCGTGCACAGTTGTCTAATGAAAAATTAATCCATAACTCTCGCAGAAAGAAAGAAAAACAAGAGAACAACGACAAGAAGAAGTATAGTTCACAATTTGCTGACATTTAATAACTCGTGCTCGTTTTCGGCGAAATTATGTACTTCCCTCTGCGAAGAAGACAGGCTGATTGTTTGACGGAAGAATCGCGGAACGTTGCGAAACGACGCCGTAAACGCGAAGGCGGCGGTGTTGATCGATGGGCATACCCGTCAGTTGGCACCACTTTTAATTAAACCGCCCTCAAGATTAGCTCCCCTCTTCTTCTTGCCGCGGCTTCTTGTAATTGTTTTAAATCTCACCCCACGCCGGGACGCGGACGACGCTCCCTCGGCATTTTAGCCCGGGAAAAAAAACCGCAAGCCGTCAGGGTGACAGATTCGGCGGCTCTACTGACATTTATAAGATTGTATAAAAGGGTTGTGTTACAGAGATTTTTTTGTTTATCTTTTTAACGACGGACTTACTTAAGCATTTATCGAAACCCTCTTCAGTGTCATCTTACAACAAAGAATTTTTTATATTTACTAAAAGTGATATTTCTGCACATTTGACAAACGCGAAAACTTTTTATTACAATGCAAGACATTTAAATATATGTCGCGGTAAGTTTTCTTATAAAATAAAAAGATTTAAAGTTTATTTTCATCATGATATAAAAATTGTGAAAAAAGCGGAAATTTACTGATAGTTACGTGATTGGACATTTAAATTCAGGTCAAATAGTAAGTCTGACAGATAATGTTCCACCAGTATAGCATAAGATTTAAACGTCAGCCCGATAATTATCGATCGCGCGTAGTTAAAGCAAATACGCGATTGCGACTTAGTTTCCAACGCGATTAGAAGCCAGTTCGAACAGTCATGATTCATCGAGCATACACACGCAATAATTAAATCAATCGACCGAAAAATCTGGAATTTTTTTTCAAGACACCTGGTATTTACGAGAACTGGCCCTACAATTTAGCAGCTCTTTATTAAAATAATTATCCGCGGTACGTTTAAAGCAAAATCGCTTTTTTATTTGTTAATAATTTTCACGTAGAAACTTTACGCAATTCTTTGTACGAAGTCATAATTTGCACTCGAAAAATTAATAGATATTCAAGGCGGGTTTATTTGTTAAAATATCATAAAGATGATATATTACAATGGTGTATAATATAAAATTATAATACAAGGATCAGATAAGAAATTTATAGATTCAGATAATTACTCAATAGACTCTAGGCAAATCTATTGCGCGATCAATATGATTTTTTTGGCGAACGAATTTTCCGGTAAGTCGCATATCGTCGAATCCGACGTTTTCAGTTTTGTCGGCGAATATTTGACCGCGTATTCCGACAATATTCACCGCTCCCGTTCGCCAGTTTCAATTTGACCGTACAGATGTTTCCCGAGACGCCGCTCGGTCTCGCAAGTTGGGATATCCATCCATAGCTCTCGTCCGGGCGCTGTGTAACGGCGCCGGGAGTTACGGCCACGGAGATGTATGGTAATTGTACGTGGCTAACTTACAGACTCGGAGTGGCCCGGGGGCTCCAAGTGCCTTCCGGTAGTATCACTGGCTCAACATCCACCTGCAGATACCAGAAGGGAACTCGCAAGAAAATCCGCCCGAGTTAACAGCATCTTCCCTCTTCGCCAACCCTTTGAATGGATGCAGCCGACACCGAGAGACGTTGAGGAAAGTTCGATCGTCTGCCTTCGAGACATTTTGGCACTACACCGTGTGTATACGTGTATTTCTCGAAAGATAACTCTTCCCCTAATGCATCGCGTTAACGTAATATTTGAAAATTTTATGCCAGAACGTTCAATAAAATATGTGTATATATTTTTTTATTTTACGAAATATTGTTATAGGGTTTTTTTTTTTTTTTTTTTTTTTTTTTCGATTGGCACGGGAGGAGGGAAGCACTCTTTATTACTACCCCGGGACCGGTCCCGTGGTTATGTGGGACTCAGGCTCCACCATGTGCATTTCGACATGGCTTCATCGCCCACTACCCACTAAACCCTCCCCCCGGCGCAAAAAGCAACCCTTTTTCTTTTGTTGATCAGCCGGGTAAGAACTGTTTTACACATAACTTTTACCCGACTGATCCAGTTTGCGGTGTTTCCGCCCCATCCTTACCGGATCCCCCAGAAAATATTGGTAATGTTAATTACCCTCTCCCCATATATATTTTTATTTCCCCATGTACCGAGTGCACGCCTAATTGCGCACTATCCCCCTTAATTGTTATAGAGTATAGCGATACACTTGAAAAATTTATTTGTATATTAATATAAATAATTAAGAGTCGTTTCGCAGGAAAACAACTACATATAACATTATCGATATATATAATGCCGCGAACGCAGAAACGGATGATAATAATTGAGAGTTGGAAGAATTATCTGAGAAAGATAACGCGACCACCTTTGATCGAGAGTGAAAAAGCGACGGCGAGAGAGATGTCGGAGTCGACAGAGAGATCAAAGAAGTGAGGAGATAACAGGATTTTTCGGACCGAGGGTTGAGTGCTGTTTATCGATACGGGAACCGCGATGTTGCCCACATGGCGGGCTGTCTATTTTCGTGTATACGCGTATATAGTACCTACTCGCGCGTCTCGAAGCGTCTACCTGTCCCGGTTTCTTCCGCCACCGGGTCGGGTGAACGTACGGAGAGTTCGTCCAGAATTTCAGGAGAAACTCGTCCTCCCCGCAGCAATTCGGCTGATTCGTCTCGCGGGATCGCGCGGCTGCATGTGCAACGACTGCACCGGACTCCCAAGACGGCACTTGCAAGACTCGTCCGGTATCTCGGAACTATACGCTACGAATTGTTCGTGGTTTATGCGCGTCAAACTGAAGCCTTCGATACAACTGCCGCGATTAGGTATAACTTCCATCTCACAGCGTATTAAACGGTGTTGATTAAATGAAGGACAGACGAAATGCATCCATATATTCAAAGATTTACCTAATTTATCTCTACATTCTTAAATATACACCGCGCGAAATTATATAAAAATTAAAAATTATAAAATAATACCAATTATGTTACGTTATATTGTATACCTAAATATTTAAGAATATTTTTTCTTCTCTTCTTTTAAATGTAATACTACTTTATTTTTCGTCGCGCAATTGTTAACAAATTGTTAGTGAATCGACCTGGTTTATGGAATGTGCGACGTAACTTGGGCAGTGCCTCGCGTACATTGAACTCGCGAAATTATACGTGCATAATCAAGCACACCCTTTATTGCGATGAAAATGTTATTATTAACGTCGTAAATGCGTGCGATTATTTCTTCATAAATTCGCCGTGGGGACGGCAATTTGATTCGATCCCGCGTAATTTACGGTCGCGAAAAAAAATGCGTAACGCAGGGAACGCGTCGCATATCGCCGACGGACAGAGAGATGCGATCGCGCGGATGATAATAAATATTCCGCGGGCTCGTAAGGTCCCCCGAAATTATACCAAGCGCGAGACCGGGCCCCAACGATCTTATCGAGGCTTTATGCAAAAATTGCTAATTACTGAATCCCGCGATGAAAGCGTGCGACAACGCGTCACGCTCGGGCGGGGCCTTCGCCAAGATGAAATCTTATATATAAGATAAAATAAAATATATAGGTATACGTGCCGGCAAGACGCGTAAGTTTGTCATAGCCAATTTATACAATTGGCGTAGCGATGCGACACTCGCTATTTGACACAGGGGACCTACGAATTTATGGCTAATGTACCGCTATGCTTCAGCCACGTCCCCTTTTCCGCTTTAATTTCGTTTTCTTATTCGAATGGAAAAGAACAGACATTAATTCGCGATATGACAATTTGTGTAATTGAAGCGATACATTAAAAATTTATCAATTTATTTTTGAGTTATAATAAATTAATTTAATAAGTTAATATTGCTCTGTCTTATTAATCAAAATTATCAAAATCGAAATGATTTTACTGCATATAAAAGATTACATTTAATCAAATGTATTCACCTCTATACACTATATCCTTACATTGCTTATATTGTGACGGACGATTGGTATTCAGGCCGACAGATCCCTTGGATTCATGTAACAGCATCAGGGACATGTGTCAGCCAGGACGATTGGTAAGGGTCGGAAATGGCTGTTTAAAATTGCATCGAGGGCCTACTGTTAAAGGCACGTGCGCTTTTTAATGTCCCGACGAATGCTCACGATAATGTCCTTTAAGCTTTTATTAACGGTTATCAAAGTACGTGGCTCGAATGGCCATGGCCATTCTCACGCGACAACGAACCAAGCCTCGATCCTTTACCTACAATAAGTCTGCCCGAGAGAGAGAGAGAGAAAGAGTCCTTATTCCATTCTTCTCGATAAAAATTGTTAGCACGCAAAAAGTTTGAAAAAAAAGTATATAAAGTATTTTCTATATTTCCCTTTCTCTTATTGAGTATTATAATGAAATATATTTAATTACTTAAAATAAATAAAAATGACTAAAACTAGTGACATTTTCTTCATACGATATGACACCAAAAAGTACATCGACGCGTGCGAGCTTTTTGCTGATCTCTAGTCCATTATAGCATTAGCGATACTGAAGGGTCTCGAATCTCATGGGGAGAAAAGTTTTGCCAATGATTAACCGAAGTCTAGTTCGTGACTTTGATGAGTCGACTATACTCGCTGCTATAGATTTGTTAGAAATAATTAGGATTCATCGTCAAACATTACAAGTTCGTTCTTTTTGTTACAAGTTATATAATGTATCACGAATGACGCAAATAATTTCTTCTCAACTTGGAAGACATAACAAAAATACAAAACGTTAAAGACGGAGAAAAAATATTTTATTTATAAAAACTATTTTATTTATAAATTAATCATAGAATTTTTGTAATTTATTATATATTAATTTAATTTACGAGTTTAATTTAATTTATAAAAAAATTGATTTCATAATTTAAATTACGATAATTGCTTTTATCTTTATTACTAGCTAAAATAAGATAATTGATTTATCGTTTTCTTTACTAGTTGTATGAAAACTTGGCATTAGCGATCAAGGCAAGTCACATCCACTCGCTTTTTCGTTTGATAACAAACGAAATCGCATCACGATAAATCGGACGAGAAGACAGACAAATGGGCTTGGTAAAAGACAGTCTGGCGAGTACGTCGATAAGATCCTACAGCAATTAAAGATCAGGCAAATCCAGAAAAATCTACTGTCAAAATTCGACTAGCATACAATCTACGAAATATGTGCGCACTTTCTTCGAGGGTTGCGATGCGACAATGCGACCCAGCTAATGTCATACGAGGGTTGTTCGGTCCCAAGTTCCGAAGGAATTTATCTGCCGGTCAGTCACCCTAAATATCAGACACAATCGTGCAATCGCACGCGTTCATCGCTATAAATAAATACGGCATGTCGTAAAATATCACGCGAATCTGCGAATGACAATGACGCTTTTTTAACGCGTCGTGTTTTCAATTTCATGTTTACGCAGCATCCGTCTTGCACGTCGATGAGAAGACTGTGGGCGGGCGAGAGAGATTTCTCACTTGGCTGAAGGACATATTTAATAAATCCGTAGGTGAGTCGCATATTGACGTTATACTTGGAACAGAGGTTACTTTTTGCCATTTGTTATATTACGTAATCTGCGTTATATAATACACAAAAATTAAATCGTATAAATCATGCTACATCACATCTGCTTTACTAGAAGATTAATTTGTTTAAGATAAAAATTATATCATTTATAATAAATAATGTTATTTTCGCGATGCGATTTTACGATAGTTTTTGTAAATAATTTATAATAATTTGACATTATTGTCAAGTTATGCAGCGATATTTTACATTATAATATATTTGATAAACACGAAGATATTTTATATTTTTGATAAAAAGTAATAATGATAATATGTAATTAAAATTATAATTCTCAAGTAGAAAGTAGAATATTAGAAAAAAATAAGATTTTGAGAACTACATGCGCTTGTATTGTATATGTATTTGTAAGAATAAATATCAAATAAGTTTAACTTTCTTATTGCCACGCTATACCACATGACGTAAGTTATCGAATAAGTTGCAGAAGATAGAAACCACGAAGCTGACACATCGATCGTGACCATCGATCGCGGAGCAACAACGTTCGATCATCCAGAAATAACGGTATCGAAACGACCAGCGGACTCTTCGGGCAAGGTCGACGTCGTTAATCAAAAACCAACCAATTTCAACACGACGACGAAGTTCGACGAGGATGGGAATAACAACGCGATGAACGCGGAAAAACACGCGAATACGATTCCAGAGTCGGCGACTTATATCTCGTCGCGGTCGAGCGAACCTGGAAAAACTTTGGTACGCGACTCCGATTTTACGTGGCTCGATCCCGACGAGATACATCGATCGGCGAGAAACGTGATAAGATTTGCGGCAAGGGACGATCCCGATGTGACCGCACATTATCGTCGTTACACGAGTCCCAGGCACTGTTATCGCCTGCCACCGCGAACGAGGCACCCGTTCCTGGAATCTCGCGCTCCAAATAGAAATATCTCCTCGATGTCGACGCGCGGGATCGCGGATTTCGCTCCCAGGAACTCGAAGCCGCCCGTCAGGGAGCCGAACGCGCCCGAAAAGCGCGAGAAGCAGGACGAGAGGAAGGACGAGACAAGGAAGAAGGAGAAGAGGAGGCCAGTAATACGTACGGACGGCGAATCTGCCGATAGTAGCGAGAAGCGAGCTGAGATGGTAGCGGACGATAACCCAAAGGGCGACCCCGACGCGTTTCGTTACGAGTGGGGCGTGAAACTGGCCGAGGAGCCGGTCGCCGATAACGATAACTTGGCCGAAAAGAGCCGGCAATACGTCACGAAGCGGTTTTGGGGAGTGAACCTGAAACAGCCGGACGTCGAGCAAAACACGGAAGAGCATCGAAACGCCTCTTCCTCTCCGATCGCTCGGAGTGGCGATACCATCGCCGATGAGATGCCGAAGAGCAACGTTTCGGCGAAAGACGCGTCGAGCTTGAAAGGCACGACCGCGGAATATCTGTCGACCCCGTCCGCAAACCTAGTTTCGTCGAGCGGCGATTCAATTACGCCGCGGCGGGAAAAGACTGACGCGTCGGACTCGTTTCTGAGTTCCGAGGCCCTTCGCAAAATCATGAAGACGTCCTCGAACGTGTTGGAGGAGACGATGGCGATCAATAACGAGTACAATGTTCCCGAAGAAGCGGCCTTGGACGCCGAGATCACCGCCTGGAAGAATGTCGCGATGAGATCGACGAGGGCTCGCAAGGAAGATTACATGCCGGATAACGTGGAAAATATGGAAATGGTATCGATTCGTCCGGAAGCGCCGCAGCCCAAGTTAGACGTGCGAGTCGTGAGATCGACCGAAGACACCTTGGAAGAAGTCGAGCAGGTCAATAATGCCGGATATAAAGACGTGAAATCTATGCCGATCAAGCATTTCGGATCGTCGCAAAAACCGGACGGTTACGTGTCCAGTAAGAAACTGCATACTGCGAGTATGCAACTTCGTTATCCACATCGGCATATAAGTAGGAGCGCAACACTTTCAATTAATTCCACTCTCATCGATAAAACCACGCAGATGAAATGCTGGAAACTTACGTCAGCCTTCTCTACGGATGCTGAGAGTTCTAAAGAAGCGATTATTAAAGCATTGAATCAGCAGACTGAAGAAGGAATAGATTCGAAGAGCTGGAATAAGGAAGGAAAGTCTAATGATACCAAACGAATAATTCATCAAGCATTAAACGACCTCTTTCACCTACTTTAGAATCTCAAACATTTTCATGTAGCAATCAAAAACCAGCGAACACTGATAAAAATATTATCGCGAATAAAGGAATGGAGATTTCTTTAAATCCGTCGCAAAATGTTCATCATAAAAAATTCATCTGCCTGTATCTTCTGAATTTGCACAAAAGAACGAGTCTCGCTTTAAAAACGAGGACGAGCTAGAAGACTACGAGAATCCCAACACCAGTTACATAGACTTACGTAACAAAGACGCCATCGATTTCAATTCTCCATCAACTGACAATGGTCCGATGAAATCATCGAACGCGAAATTAGCCGAAGAGGATTCAAAGTCCAACGAAGAAAGCAACAAGAATAATACTTCGGACTCGAACGTGGAAAACGTAGAAATCGAGTATATCGTCGACGGCGATTACGTACGATTACCCGGCGATCCTTATCCCTACAGCAGAGAGAATCTGGATAAATGGCGCGCGTCGCGCTTCAGGAGCTCTATTCGCAGGCCGATGAAGCGGGAGACCATGTTCGATTCCGTCTCTGTCTCACGTACGAGTCCGGGGAACGCTAATGACAAGCCGTATGCAAACGTCGCGCGCGATTCTCACGGCGGCGTAGTAATGAAGACTTCAGGAAGCGGCGACGGCGCGGGAGCAAAAAACGCGGAACGCTCGGCGAACGGATTCCGCGTGTCCTCTCGGAGTCAGCGGGTGGTGTCTGATTGCCTGAGCGGCGATGCCGCAGATGCGCTGGGATTGCGACGATGGACGGAGGCCTTCTCGCGGCTCGACGTCGTCGACGGAGACGACACGTCGTCGTCCCGCGCCTATCATCAGTAGTAGTAGTAGTAGTAGCACTCGCTGCGAGAATCTGCGGCGTAACTTCCGGTAAGCGTGCACCCCGCGGCACCTTTGCATAATTCAGCTCTCTCGGTTAATTAGAACGGGCTCGTTGCCCGCGACGTAACGAGCGAGGGTTCCGCGAACTTTAATCCTAGATTGCGTTTACCGTTTCCGTCCGCACGCTGACGCTTAAGTGTGCACCCGGTATGAATACAATAAATATAACGTGGATAGATAATACGCGAATATATAATAGGAATTTTTTTTTAATACTCTATATGACCTAAAGTCTTTCCTCTCTCTCGATTCTCTTTAATTAGTATCTTGATAAAAATTTTTAATGAATTTAATATTCACAGGTTTTATTTATATTTTGTTTCTTATAAATTTCTGTTTTATATAAATGAAGAGTGTACTGTGCAAGCGGATCATTGTTAAAGTGATCATTTTCTTCAGATTTAAAAATAAGGAGTTTAATTAAAAGTTATATGTATGTTTAAATTATATATGTAAATCCAATTTATAAGAATGATTTCAAATTACGGAATATTACAACATATAATAAGAAAGATGCCATATATTTTTTGCAGAAACCGATATGTTGACAATAAAGAATACGTAAACAGCTGTAGTAAAAAAATTTAGAGTTATTTAAAATATTTTTCTCGAAATAATTAATCCTACATAAAAAATGCAATTTTATTTAAATTGCAGAACTCGATAAAAAATTTAACTTAAATTTTGTTTCAAAAATTAAGGACAAAATAAGAGATGATTACGACATATTTAATAATACAATTATTAATGCAATATAGACGTATATTCGGTATTGCTAAAGTTTTGATTTATTCAGCAACTCTCGGTGCAGCTTCCGTTGATTCATCCGGCTCGGTTTCTCGGACGAACGCTTCCTGAAATTATTCTCCATTCCCATAAACACGTTCTTCTTCTTCTTCTTCGCGCTTACGATTAAAAGCGGATAGGAAATCAAGAGATGCGCGGGACTCATATCCACGAAATTACCGTATAGCTCGCGCAGTTAGCTCGCCTTAAGAGCTTTTTTGATTCACGGGACGATCGAGGCATTAATCGCCGGCCGACGCACCTGTCGAGAGGCAGCGGCAAGAGGAAGGAAGAGATGACGGAGGAGGAGGATAAGGTTGGAGAACGACCGGCTAGGTCGTTCAATCAGACACGTGTACTTACGTGCATCTCCCGCATGGACTCTCTCTCTCTCTCTCTCTTTCGGCCCTTATTCTTGGGCGAACTATCGACCCGCCGCGCCGGGATATGCGTGCCTACCGGTCACGAACGCGGCTGCTCTCCCGCCCGGAGGCTGTTATTTGACCACCAGCGAGATCTCCGAATCGTCGACCCCCCTATCTAATCATTCAAATCGCAGGCGGTTTAATCGCCAGTGTGTACGCACGCGGTGTCCGCCGCCGCATCGCGCTTAATATTCCTCGTCGAGGGTGTCGGACCGACTCGCTTCTGCAAATCCCATATGGTGTCGGGAGAAAGAGAGAGAAAGAGAGAATCCGGCTACCATCGTAGCGCGATAGCGAAACGGCTACCATACTGCGCTACTATCGCCGATAATGCCCACCGGTAATTGCAGACCCCGTGGCCCTGATTACCTTCTCGCGCTTGGCAGAAGACACGCGGACGTGGTTTTGCCTCGGTTATACGGCAAACAGCTGGCCGTGCCGTGCCACTTTCCCGACCGATCGATCGCTCACCCGCCGATCCCGCTGTCATTTGCTCGCGCGGACATTCCGCGTGCTCCGGCTCCTGCTTCTAAGTCGTCTAACGGAATACTAATAATGAGCGTTCAGACGAGATGCTGCTCGAGTTAGAATCCAGCGCGTGTGTCCCGCCTCCTCGTCGATGTACGATCGGAATTTTCACATCGATTCACCGCCGATCCATCTCCCAGAAAGACGAACGCCTCGGCTGTATTTTTAAATTTTATTTTTCATATTTTCGAACATGCGAGGATATATTTTTAGAGTGTGAATGACGAATTTTATGTTTAATTAGATTTTTTTCATTTAAAAAAAGGAACGAAAAATAATGATAGTTGTAGCTGATTTCTATATAGTTAAATGATTTTTGAATTGCTTCGAGAATTCTCGTTTCAAGGATGCAACGACGCGGCACGACGACAGGATTGGCATTGGTAGCGGACTATTGCTTTTATTTACGACTAGAATCCGCTGACTGCTTCGAGTTCGCTCCTCCTTGACCTCCTCTCCTCTCGGTTCTCGCCGAGGTTAGAACGATCCTATCTCCGCAAGACGTAGTCGCGGATCATTCCCTTCGGGGTCTTCCGCGCTATAAAAGATATCGCCCTATGGTTGTATATTACTCACGCCACCGTGTTTTCACTTGGCACGGCGATCGGCGCCGATATCATAACTCCTTGTCGTATCGTTCAACCAGCAAATCTGCCCCGACGACGAGGCCTCCTCCTAGTAGCGATAACAATTCCGATATAACCGGCAGCCGTCGTAAGACGAGGACGAATATCACTGGCAGATGAAATAAAACTCTCGTCGGCCTTATCGCATCTGAACGCGACGAATTTTTTGCATCACGAATAAATTTTAATCGCCTTATTGCTAATTTTATATTATCAATTAAACTATTGTATACTCTAATAAAAACATTTTAGATTTTTTTTAATATCACAGCTTTACGTAAGAGAGATAAATAAGAAGCATGCATGATATAAAAAGACGGATTAAATTTCATCGATTTCCTTTATATATAGAGCACTTCTCGTGCAACCACTCTGACCGCTTGAAAGATTTGTACTTGGCATTCTAGTAGAGTAATGAAACACCTCGTAAATATGTCGCGATGTTTCCGGCAATGAAAGGTCACCGAGGAAGTGACTGAAAATTCCACAATGTTAGCGCCGTCACGCGTCAGAGCCATAATCCGGAACGGGCTGCGACTATCCGCGGCATCCCGAGACACCGAAATAGATGGTTTACAGCCTCCCTTAAATACGTCAACGTTTATGTGTAGATTCCCGAAAGTAAATCGACGAGGAATGTTTTCGTACGACGGCGGCTCCGTCACGAACCGAAGCCAACTTAAACGCCACGAGAGAAACCAGATAGTTATCCTCCCCTAGTCTCTCTCCCTCCAAAAGAAGCGAGATCACCGGTTATTATTAATAATGCGAAGAGCGTCTTTGTTTACGATGTCACGGACTTTTACACGTGCGCGGCTTTATGATGCAGGCTATATAATCTTGTTCATTTTGGCTAGCAATATCTCTTCGCGAACAGTATGTATCATTAGAATAATTATTAGCCCTCCCGACATGAAAGAGTTTATTATTAGAATAATAAACAAATCATTTACAGACCTATTTAAAAATGTATTAAATATTGCACATGGAAAAAAATTTATTAACTTGACTAAATTACTATTTTGTTAATTAAATATATATTAGTATTTAAATATACCTTTTGTTGTATTTAATTTAAATATTTTTATATGTTTTGAATTACCAAAATAATATTTAATTGAAAGATTTAGTCAAGTTAACCAATTTTTTCCAGTGCAGATTTCTTTCTTTATATATCTATAGTAATGTCAATTAAAAAAAGAATCACCCTTATATATATATGTGCGAATGTAAATTATTAACCGCAAAAGAGAGAATTGAATTTTGCGTCGAAGTATACGATAACTTTTATTCGATCGTTTCAGTTTTAGGGAATAAATTGAAGATGCTTAATATCGGCTGTAACATATGTGTACATACATGACAATTATCTCGTAAGCTGACACATATCAAACATGCACAGATTTTCTCTTAGAATTTTCTCTTAGAGTTTGCTCTGAAAATTATGGTACTCGTGGGACAATATATACTATTGGAAGAATTTTATAAGTTTCTCTAATTAATATTTACCACAAAAAATATTAACAAAAGATATAAAATATGTTTAATTAATTTTACTATGAACATATTAATAGTTATTATTGTGGTAAATATTAATCAGCACAATTACAATAATTTTCAGGCTAAATTCTAAGAGAAATTCTCTCCGTGTATAATTCTGACATGTGAAAGACAATTATTTTCCGAATTTCTCGATCGTAGGAAAAAGCCCAGGTAGACAAATGGTTAAAAGTAACAAATATCTTTCGCGTATATACATAGTATACGTATATATACACTCGGTATCCCACAGAGTGAGACGACGTGATTCCGCTCGAGTGGTCGCGCCTCGGGCGCAAGTCACCCCGCGATCGTTGGCCGCAGATCGCAGGGCCCCGTAGTGACATCACAAAAAATCACGGCGCCGCTTTTGGCCGGATATCTTTCAATTACCCGTTAATATGATAGGCGGCGGCGGGCGCACTTGCAAGTCACCGCCGCGTCGTTGCCGGCAATGTGCGCGCAAACACAATCGCACACGATCGAATATATACGTGCATATATACGTACGATGTATATATGCGCGTTTACGTGTGTACGTGTGTGATTAATCGACGTCAACCGCAGACCACGGTGCGAACCTTGTCGAGGGAATCGCCGGCGATTCGTTGACACGTCGATTCGCGGTTTACGCGCGCCGAAATACCCGTTGTGCGAAAAGCGAAATTTATGCCTCGAACGCACGCGAGAGGCATCGCCGGCCGGATGTTGGCGGATCTGTGTTTGCGTTGCAAGAGGCGCGGTTGAAACGCGGTTACAATATTACTGGAACGTACGCTGTTGCAGCTTAATCGCGCCTTAATCCTGGGAGACGGCCAAGTCGCGGAATATGTTTTCCGATCGTGAATATCATAGGGTGAAAATCGACGCCACGTGATCTTGGCAGTCGTGAAGTGTCGACTTAATTTTACGACGACCGCGTAATCGGCTAAGAAAACTAACAGCTTTTAGGAAGAAGAAAGTGAAACTAGTTTCTCTTATCCTTATTATTGTTCTCTTATCCAGATTCCTGCGTGAACGAATTAGAAATAGCGAA